GGGGAGTCAAGGAACTCCGGGGAGTCAAGGAACTCCGTCCAAACTCCGGGGAGTCAAGGAACTCTGTCCAGTAAAACCAGGTTTTGTGAAACCTACTCTCTGCATGATGAAGGACAGCAATCAACTCCTCCAGGACACAGAGCTCTTCAACCTTCCCAATCCAAACCCTGAGCGGTGGGGTATCTGAATGCTTCCAGTACAGAGGGATACACGCTCTCACCGCATTTATCAAGTGGATCGGTAGCGAGTTGCGATAACGGGCCTTGTTTGTAGACATTGAACTGAATGGTGTGCTGGTTTAGTTTAGACACATCCGGGAAATACTCCAATCTCAGCCTCCCTTAGGACAATTCATTCTATTCTTGCCGACAAACTTGCCTCCACCAACTCTTATGACACCTCATATGTAGCTGTGAAAACTGGAATGATTTTATCTACACAAACTATAATGGCCGCAATTAGGTCTCCTTGCCAGCACCTCTGGTACCACAGAACTCTGGAAGCCATTGTCGCATGAAAAAGCCAACCTTTCAACAAAAAAGTGTGGCAAGAACTTCCATGAAATGGTGACTAAGGTTCTCCTTCCAGAAGACTTACCACAGGACCTGAAAGGATCAGGCCACCTAAAATATATTACTTTTTGGTAGAGGTCGTAACTCTACTCGCATGCTATGGACCTTGGCAGTGGTGTCTCTCTTTTTCGTGTTGTACGGGGTATAGAAGGAGCCTTGAGATTGCAATGGCTACCATTGGGGGGTTTCATGACCTCCACTCTAGAACTCTCCTGAGAATAGTTCCTGACTGACATAAAAGGCCGGTGGGTGTTTCAGACCCCCAGTGTCCCAGTTTCTGGTGGACTAACCCAAGACGTTTACTACTAAAGAGGCAGAGGGCCGTTTTGGTGATCTGAATAGTTGACCAACCGGCTTAAATGTGTCCAGTTTTGGTTGGACTGTCAACGAAGATCAGCAAAGTTATGAATTTTGATTGGCTGTTGGTGGTGGTTTCTCATGCTACTTTTGTGTCTTGCCTAGGATGGAAATAAAATGAAAGGCAATGTGAAAATGGAAACAGAAGAACCATTTGTGATTAGTGATGAGCCATGTAAAGAGGAGGACATTACCCCAGAGATCAGCACAGGTGAGTAATAAACACTAAACCCAGAGAAGAGTCCCAGATTCTCCTTGTTCAGTCACTACAACAATTTCTTCTTCTCCCCCCTCCTCTGTCAGTAGACAGTAATGGGGGGACGGAATGTGTCTAGTGGGGGGAGTCAGGAGCCATCAGCCTCTATTAGACTCTGGCTCTCCTCCTCACATCTTGTTAGTCACGGTAGGTGAACTGTTTGTCTGTTTCCTGTCTGGGAGATTTCACTTCCTGTCCTGAGATACAACAGGAAGTGTGAGGAAATCTCTCCAAAAGAGTGGAAATCCATACTTCGAGTTAGGTGTCCAATTATGTAGACTTTCCTGTCATGTCCTGTTCTGGTGACAGCTTTAAAATGTTGTCATCACTTGACAATGGTCACCAGGACAAATAGGGTGAAGCTCCCCTCTGTGGACGCAAATAACTCCCCACCCCTCCATCCAAAACAAAAAACAGTTGACAAATGTTTTGAGAGGCTTACTTGCTAAGTTCCAGACTAACATGACAGGAGACAGGATGTAGAGAACTTCTCAGACGTTGCTCAGGTTGTTGTTGACTTTCAAAAATGCTCCTGATAACAGCTCTTCCCTCTCTTATTGTTTCCAGCGACACAACACTACAGGTATAACGCAAGAGCACAGCCCCTTCCTTCTCCTGATGGCAAAATCGAGGATGATGATGACCTCACATCTGATTCTGCTGGAGAAAACCCCATGACCCCAAACTTCCACCCAGCACTATCGTCCCATTCCACCATGCACATGGGGTGCTTCTCTGATGACCCAGTTGCCCATCACGCCAGTCAAAACCAGGGTGAAACATTGCCGTGTCCCGAATGCGGGGGGTGTTTTAGCCAGAGAGCCGGGGTCAACGTAAACACCGGGGACACGCTATATTCTTGTTCCGAATGCGGGAAGTGTTATACCCCGAAGACGCGTCTGGCGGATCACATACGAACTAACACGGGGACAAAGCCCTATACCTGCCCCCAATGCGGGAAAGGGTTTCCCTCCAATGCGCATCTTGTCATACACTATAGACTGCACACGGGGGAGAAGCCCTATTCGTGTTCGGATTGCGGCAAGCGCTTCCACCAGAAGTCAAACCTGAACCACCATCAGGTGATCCACTCGGGCGAGAAACCGTTTTCTTGTCTGGAATGCGGGAAGCGGTTTTTGAGGAAGGCCGATCTGGTGACCCACCAGAAAACTCACTCGGGGCTGAGGCCGTATTCGTGTCCTCACTGCGGGAAATGCTATAGGAGTAAGTCAACTGTGGTTAAACATCAGAGGATCCACATGGGGTGAAGGCTCCTCTAGTGTTCTCAGGGAGGGGTAAGCTCTTCATGAAGGGATTGAAGAGGCTTTGCCTCAAAGTCCCATCTGTCAATGGACAAAAGACCTCTAACTCATGCTTGTGTACCTACCATGGAAGGGCTGAACAAATCTGAAGGTCCAGGTAGCCGAGGCGGTTGACCAATCACATCTGGCACCTAAAGTTTGGAAGATTCTTCTTTTGATCCCAATGAAAGAGGCCTCTCCGCTTTGTGAAGGACATTTGTTTTGAAGTAAACTGTGTTTTTGTTCTAATTAGGGATGCACCGATACTAGTATCGATATCGGTGCCGATACCGAGTATTTGGGCGAGTACTCTTACTCGCCCAAATGCTACGATGCCTTCCTCGATACCAGAACTTCCGGTCAGAGGAAGATTTCCTCTGACTGGCAGTGCTGTAGGGAACATGTAGCCAGCTTCAAAATGCGATCAGGAAGCTGGGCGGCAAGTAATGACCCGCCTCTCCTTGATGCTGATTGATAAGGAAGCCGGCTTTCTAGCTAATCAGCATGGAGCCGGCTTCCCGGCCAATCAGAAAACTGGTAAGCGGGTCATTACTTGCTGCCTGGCTTCCTGATTGGCCGGAAAGCCGGCTCGATGCTGATTGGCTGGGAAGCCGGTTTCCTGGCCAATCAAAAAAATCAAGCCGACCAACAACATGGAGACGGCAATCAGACAGCCGGGCATTGTCATTACACACCACACGGCTCCCTGATTGCCTCTGAAGCCGGCTCCATGACAGCGGAAGCACCTGTATGGGTACTTGGTATCGGCGTGTACCGAAAGCAAAGTATCGGTACTCGATACCGAAAAACCGGTATGGGTGCATCCCTATTGCTAATGTACAGCATTGTAACCTCCTGCACATAAATGAAGGAACCTGTCCACACTTCCACTTGGCCACTGTGATGACTCCCATCTCAGCTCGCTAACAATGACTCCGTGGTTGCCTCAGAAGAACAGCCAAGATTTCGACGTAAAGCTGAAGTTTAATCTGCTTATATTTTGTCTGCTGATATCCAATGATTGAAAAGAGCAGGCCAGAGACAGACGGGTTGGGAAGGAACGAGCTAGATGATGCTGGATGGGGAAGGGGGGGTTACCCGTTGTAAAGACGTTGTCACTTTGCCCTGCATGACGGCCAAGACAATGCTTACCGATGTAGAATTCTCAAGTTGCAAGTCATTGTTGGCCGGCTGGGTGTAGAGGAACATTGTGGGTGAGGAGAGGCACTTACGACAGAAAAAAAAAAGAACCTGTGTGTGTGAAAATAAAACGTTAACAGATCTGCATGGGTTAGGGAATTGTTCGGGTGTGTTGATGACCTTTAATAAAATGGAAGTATATGTTACCTGAGGATTGTGATTCATGTGGATTGTTGTTTTTCCAGGGGGCAGTCCAAGGGGGCGGGTTGGGACATCTGTGCTGGGCACGTGGTCCAATTATGTTGGTCAGTCCTGTAGGTGTCGGTAGAGATGTCGACTAGTGTCTGAACACCGTGCAGAGTGCACTACATAGGCAAGAGGAGTCATGGTGGGAACAGAGACTGTTTGGGGAATTTTTGGTTGATGGCTGTTGTTTGGGGAGGGAAATCAACAGGGGGTGTTATGCATTATGCAGTGGATGTGTGCTTGTGGTCATATCTCCAGGAATGGAATGTGGCAGGGTGACTGTCAGTTTGGAGGGGGGATGTGGGAACGTAGTTGTCACTCAGATGAGGAGATGTGGGAGGGTTTCTGTTGGTCCATGGAGGAGATGTGGATAGGTGGCTGCTATCAGATTGAAGAAGATGTAGTAGGGTGTCTGTTGGTCCAGGGAGGAGATATGGGCAGGAGGGGTGCTGTCAGGTTGCAGTGAATGTAGGCAGGTGGGTACTGTCAGGGTAGGAGCTGTGGCTAGATGGGTGCTGTCAGGTGAGAGGTGGTCTATCAGTCTGTGGAAGGGATGTGAGTGGGAGGGTGGTCCAGGGAGGAGATGTGGGCAGGTGGGTGCTGTCAGGTTGGAGGGTGTTTGGTTCAGGGAGGAGATGTGTTCTTTCAGGTTGAAGGGGATGTTGGAGGGTGTCTGTGGTCCAGGGAGGAGATCTGGGCAGGGGGTGCTGTCAGGTGGGGGGTGTCTCTTGGTTCAGGTAGGAGATATGGGCAGGTGAGTGCTGTCAGGTTGCAGTGGATGTAGGCAGGTGGGTGCTGTCAGGGTAGGAGCTGTGGCTAGATGGGTGCTGTCAGGTGAGAGGTGGTCTATCAGTCTGTGGAGGGGATGTGAGTGGGAGGGTGCTGTCAGGTTGGAGGGTAGGTGCTGTCATCTTGGCAAGGAATATGGGTGGTGTTATCAGGTGAGAGGGGATGTGTGTGGGTGTGTATTGGTCCAGGAAGAGGATGTGGGTGGGTGGCTACAGTCAGGTGGAAGGGTGTCTGTCAGTTTACGATAAACATTTAATACAGAGTGTGCCCAAGCACTGGTGTCACAAAGCATTTTTGGTTTTCTACAAGGAGAACACAGCAGGAGCTGTTTTCTTTCATCTCTCTGGGATATTTATATATAGAATACAGGCCTGATGGATCTCATGATGTTTCTCTATGGTATCTCGAGAATATAGAGGACGAGTCTGAGGGATCTCATGTTTTGGTGTGGAATCCTGGAAATACAGATGACGGGCCTGAGGGATCTCCTGATGTTCCTGTGTGGAATCCCGGGAATACAGAGGACGGGTCTGAGGGATCTCATGATGTTCCTGTGTGGAATGCCGGGAATACAGAGGACGGGCGTGAGGGATCTCCTGATGTTCCTGTGTGGAATCCCGGGAATACAGAGGACGGGCCTGAGGGATCTCCTGATGTTCCTGTGTGGAGTGCCAGGACTACAGAGGACGGGGACATCTCTCTGGGGTATTTCTGTTCCTGGATCCATCTGTAGGAAACATCTTCTGCAAGTTCTCTTCAAGTTTCCTCACTTCCTCATCAACCAATATGGATTCTTTCCTCAATGAGATACGACAGATGTGATCTCTAGACAACCCTCCTATTGTGCGTTTACTAGGCCAGCTTACAGCCATCTTGCTGCCCACGTTAGTCTGGTGGATTGTTAAGCCAAACTTTTGCCTGTTTAGTGTGGGGGGGGTCAGGAGACATCAGCCTCTATTAGACTCCGGCTCTCCTCCTCACATCATGTCATTGTGTGTTACCAGCCAAGAGACGTGACCAGTCTCCCCCCACACACACACTCTCTGTGGTCTCTCATACATCTCAGGAGGCTTCACTCTCATCTTTATTCACAGACCCTCAGAGTGATGTCAAAGCTGAGGAAGAGGTGGAAGAACATGTGAGGATTAAAGAGGAGGAAGTTCTCGTTGAGATCAGCACAGGTGATTCATAAATACTAAGTCCAGAAAGGAAGGAGTCGCGGATTGTCCTTGTTCAGTCACTAAAACATCAGGCCATCATGGGTCTAAGATTTCTATTTATACAATGGCTTCCATATGTAGACGGGGAGAACTGTAGTAAGTTGGCTATCAATGATGGTGGCCATCAGTGGAAACACATTGATTGGCCTTTTTTTCAAATCAGACGGGCAGTACAGAAGCTACGGCATGGAGAGAAGTCCCGTTAGCTCCCAAGATGGTGAAACAGAGGACAAAGTTTTCACCACAGACTTTTTAGGAGTGCCTCACAATACAGATCGATCAGCTGACCCCTCTACACCAGGCGAGAGCTATGCTGAAAATCTGGTGACTGATCCTACAACATTTGGGGAGGACGACATTCTTTTCCCTTGTCCTGAGTGTGGAAAAAACTTCCCAAAGAAGTCTCAACTCACGAAGCACGTGAGGATTCACTCAAGGGTGAAGCCCTATTCCTGCTCTGTATGCGGGAAGGCTTTTGCGGAAAAAGGGAACCTTGTAGCCCTACTTGTGCTCCTACTGCGGGAAATGTTTTACGGAAAGGGGCCCTCTCATCCGACACCAGAAATATCACGCAGGGAAAAGCCGCATTCCTGTTCCGAGTGCGGGAGGGGATTTATGGTGAAAGACGATCTGGCAAAACATCAGAAGATCCACACGGGCCAGAAGCCCTTCTCGTGCTCCAAATGCAGGAAGAGCTTTGTGCAGAAGCAGCAGGTCATCAGGCAGGAAAAGAGCCACAGAGGAGAGAGGCCGTATTCGTGCTCTGATTGCGGGAAATGTTTCACGGCCAAATCGTCTTTCGTTTGCCATCAGGTGCTGCACACGGGCCAAAAGCCCTTTGAGGTGTTCTGAGTGTGGAAAGTGTTTTGCTCTGAGAGGAGATCTTAATAAGCACATGAGGACTCACACGGGGGTCATGCCACATTCTTGCTATCAGTGTGGAAAAGGCTTTCCAGATAAAGCCCATCTGGGCCGACATGAACGGACCCACATGGGTCCGAAGCCATATTCCTGCTCGGTGTGTGGAAGGTGCTTCGTGCAGAAAGCGGACGTCAGCAAGCACGAAAGGATTCACGCACGGCGGAAACCATACTCCTGCTCTTAATGCGGAGAGACCTTTTCGGAGAAGGCCTACCTGGAGCGGCATGAGGTAGTCCACATGGGGGAGAAGACGTTCTCTTGTTCCTACTGTGGGAAATTTGTCGGCACAAAAGCTTTCCTTATTTTGCATGAGAGGACTCACATAGGGGAGAAGCCTTATTCTTGTTCCGTGTGTGGGAAGAGCTTCGCACAGAAGTCCAACTTGCCTTCTCGAGTTCTCCAGATATTCCCCAGAGAAGGTGCCCTCTCAAGTTCTCCAGATATTCCCCAGAGAAGGTGACCTCTCGAGTTCTCCAGATATTCCCCAGAGAAGGTGCCCTCTCGAGTTCTCCAGATATTCCCCAGAGAAGGTGCCCTCTCGAGTTCTCCGGATGTTCCCCAGAGAAGGTGTCCTCTCGAGTTCTCCAGATATTCCCCAGAGAAGGTGCCCTCTCGAGTTCTCCAGATATTCCTCCAGGCCAGGTGCCCTCTAACCTATTTTCCATAGGGATGGGGTCTTGGCAAGGACACAGATTTGAGGTAAAGCTTGCTCTTGAGTGTCTCCACAAAGCTTGGGGTATTGGCAATGAATACCCACCCGCTGTGTCACCGCATATATGTGTTACACCCACAGGACTAGGTCAAGATTGTCATGTGAGATCATCCCTCCTACTGATCTCTCTACTGAGTCCTTACTTTTTAAGTTCATACAGTACCCAAGCCCTGATGAAGGGGGAGTGTCTAAGCCCTCGAAATGCGTTGGCTGTTCCATTTTCCCTCAACGTGAAATTATGAAACAATTTTTGAACTCTTTAATCAGTGGTGTGGCTCTCGTATACCTCACCCACCTGTGGTCAGGTCATCTGTACAGCTTTGGAAAGGCCACATGATGTGAATGGATGCAGGGCCCCCACTAAGATCTCCACCACCACATGATATGAATAGATGCAGAGACAGGTCAGGGGCCACCACTAAGATATCCACCTCCACCACATGAAGTTGCCGTGGTGACGTGCACGCTCAGAGGAAGTGGCCTTGGGACGATGGGGGGCGGCCATTTTTTTGAAGCCCAAATGAGGGATTCCGAGATTTTCTTTCTATCCAGCGGCTGATTATAGCTGAACACTTCCAGTCATAAGCTCTCCTATCCCGATCTGTTGTTATTTCTAATTTGATCGTTCAGCGATCACAACGCACAAAATATTGGATGCAACTGGAATTTCCGATAAGGCAGGACGTCGTAAATATTTGTTTTTTCTGCTCACATCGGAACCTTATCAAGTCCATATTGATCCACGGTTACAGAGTTCCTACGTCGAGCGACCTTCACCCCTTGTCCCCAAATTGATCACACCAGGAAAAAAAATGTGCAAAGATCACTCATGTAGCCATGGCGCCAGAAATGAACGACTCCGGCACACACCGCGCTGAGAACATACTGGAACCGTCTGTTTAATGGAGATAACACCGTATGGGTCACATCATAAAATGCCTCTATAGGCGCGGATGTCTACTTGGCGAGGCTCCTGTAGACCTTCAGCTGAAGGACACCCATTGGGAAGTCCTAGCCTACCATGATGGCCATGTTCCGATGCTTATATGTGCCCGGCGTTACCATGGCACCCAGCTGTCACAAGCAAGGCTTAGATTAGCCTGGTGGTAGGTTGCCATTGGAACATAGACTTGGGTTCTAGCAGAAAGGCTTTCCTCCAGAGTTCCTGAGACCCAAGTGGGCAAACGTGCCCACTGATGATTTAATATTCAGGGGATTTAACCCTTAATTGTTATTATTGATTAAAAATCAGACTCATAACTCAATACAACATAATAGTCAGCAAACAGGAAAGAGCAAATGACAAGGGACTGTTGTAGATTCAGAGGTCATGAAGATGGAACATGTTTAGTGTGAGAGTGAGAACCTCAAAAGTGAGGATTTCTGATTTTTTGGTCTTTGCTTTAATGATTTACGCCAATCTCATTGGTTTATTGCAGCTCAGTCTTTACAAGCCTGTGTATTGTTATGTACCGGCTCAGACATACCAACACATGGAGTATTAAGATGGACACAAGGATGTCATGATGGAGAACCGGCCGCCCCTCACATCGCTGGGTAAGAGGAGACTTTCATTTCTTGAGTATTGAGGATCCCCTAGATACACACATCCTCTGATATAAAGACATAGAAACAATGTATTCAGTCAGTGTGTGTGTTTCCTACAGATGGATCCAGGAACAGAAATACCCCAGAGAGATGTCCCCGTCCTCTGTATTCCCGGGATTCCACACAGGAACATCAGGAGATCCCTCAGGTAGATAGAACTGAGTTTCTTATCTCTTTATTATATCTGAAACCAGATAAACACCATGGATTATATGGAGGCACAGGGGATCCTAATTCTATTTGGTATTATTTTTAAGAATAAAAATCAGATTAAAGTTGAAGTGAAGGAGGATGCAGCAGATCTGTACGTGAAGGGTCAAGGTCCATGTAAGGAGGAGGGATGTTCTTCAGAGATCAGCACAGGTGAGGAATAAACACTAAATCCAGAAAAGAGTCCCAGATTCTCCTTGTTCAGTCACTACAACAATCTCTTCTTCTCCCCCTCCTCTGTCAGTAGGCAGTAATGGGGGGACGGAATGTGTCTAGGGGGGGGAGTCAGGAGCCATCAGCCTCTATTAGACTCCGGCTCTCCTCCTCACATCATGTCATTGTGTGTTACCAGCCAAGAGACGTGACCAGTTTTCCCCCCACACACACTCTCTGGGGTCTCTCATACATCTCAGTACTTGGGGCTTCACTCTCATCTTTATTCACAGACTCTGGAGATATTCAGAGAGACGTCAATGATGAGGAGAAGGATGAAGGACATGTCAGGATTAAAAAGGAGGAAGTTCCTTTGGAGATTGGCCCAGGTAAGATATATCAGTCCGTACAATCTTCTTCTCTCCCTTCGTCTGTCAGAACATAAAAGGAACCCACAGGACCACATACCTTAACATTTTCAGATACAAGGTCTACCCATTAATATTTCTCTTCCAGCCACCATACAACTGGCCATTCCTTATCTTCTGTTTGGTTGGTTGGATCCAAGGCTAGAAGTTGTAACCTCAATCAATGATCCATGTAATGGTCTACTTGTAGATCTATAACTCATAAACATTGACCTTAAAATACTAACAGTAATCTTGGTACCTAAATGAAAGAACACTTAGGGCCTCATGACCTTGAAGCCTTAGGTGGACTTCAGTCCTACATGATAAGTTGGAGGCAACGTCTGAAGAGTCATATGCTGGATACATGAAGTGAACTAGAGTGAGGCTGAGACGTTATTGTTTTCTCCTTAAGGGGTTTGATTGTACATGGTTGGCCCTTCCTTCTTTAGTCCATAGTTTGGGGATTCTGTTATGATTTGTTGGTCCATAAGCTCCACCCCCCATCTCTACACATTACTACAGTTGTGTTCCACTCATATGCACAGATCACAAAGACACCAGAGTGACCGAGAGGACGTTCAAAGATGAGGATGGAACAATACTCATGAAGATTAAAGAGGAGGAAAGTCCCCCAAAGAGCAGCAGAGGTGAGTTACAGGAACTAAACTCGGAAAAGCTCCAGAGATTCTTCTTATCTGGCCGCTAGCAACTCGAGCAACAGATGGGGGTTGATTTAGCTTCATCTCCAGCCACAGCCCTGAACGGGAGCACTGAGACTGGAAGTGACCAAATGGTTGTCGCTTCCAGCTTCAATCATTGCCTAGATGATCATTAAACAGATGTTCACCGCTGATCTCCTGCTCTCTCCTCCAACACCCGCCATGGCCGTCCCGGGCCTGCAGGAGGGGCAGTGAAGCCCAGCATACACACCGGGGGGGTTTGAGAGCTCTGATGCTGATTGAGAGCTCTGAGACTGGAAGTGACCAAATGGTTGTCGCTTCCAGCTTCATTCATTGCCTAGATCATCCGTAAACACAGGTTCACCGCTGATCGCCTCCTGCCATCCCCGCCAACACCCACCATGGCTGTCCGAGGCCTGAAGGAGGGGCAGTGAGGTCCGGGATACATTCCGGGGGGAGGATACTTGTTTCGGGGCCTGTGATCAGGCAAGTGTGACCTTAGACAATTGTCCCTCACTTCTCATATTATGGTGCCACTAGGGTGAGGGTGTTTGTGGAGCTACAAAAGACCGAATTGCCGTAATTCCCTCTAAGATCTGAGGACCCTCAAATAAGTGGACTTCCTGTCTCTTCCAGGTGAAGCCGACACAAAGAATGGCTTGGAAGAACCAGAAGATGAGAAAGAAGATGATGCTATAGCAAGATCTTCAGAGGAAAACCCAACTACTCCAAATCTCCTTCCAGCCCATCATAGTTCAAGTCCATCTACCGATCCCTCTACACATGGCGGGAGTCTTCCTGATCATCCCCATCACGCTCGTAGCGGGGGTGACATGTTCCAGTGTCCCGAGTGTGGGAAGTGTTTCAACCAGAGAGCAAAGCTCATCACGCACCAGAGAAGTCACACCGGAGAGAGGCCATTTTCCTGCTCTGAATGTGGAAAAGCTTTCACCCAAAGAGGAAACCTGATCACGCACCGGAAAATCCACAAAGGCGAGAAGCCGTACTTCTGCTCGGATTGCGGGAAATGTTTCCTCCTGAAGGGCGGTCTCGTTAAGCACGCAAGGTTTCACACGGGGCTCAGGCCATTCTCCTGTCCTCAATGCGGGAAAAGCTTTCCAGACAAAGGCCGCTTAGACCGTCACGAGACAACCCACACGGGGCAGAAACCATACTCCTGTTCGGTCTGCGGGAAAAACTTTTCCTCCAAATCCTACGTTAGCAAGCACGAAAGGAACCACAAACAGGATCAGCCGTATTCCTGTCCTGAATGCGGAAAAGGCTTTCCGGATGCGACCCGACTGGAGCGCCACGTAGTGGTGCACACGGGGGGAAAGCCATACACGTGTTCTGAATGTGGAAAAGCCTTTTCCCAGAAGTCCAACTTGAACGAGCACGAAAAAACGCACACGGGAGAGAAACCGTTCTCCTGTTCCATGTGCGGGAAAAGCTTTGCCTATAAATCCAACCTGACCACGCACGAGAGGGCGCACGCGGGGGAGAAGCCGCACTCTTGCCCCGTTTGCGGGAAAAACTTTGCGCAGAAATACATCCTGGCCATGCATGAAAGGACCCACACGAAGGAGAAGCCATTTTCCTGCAGCGTGTGCGGGAAACCCTTTGCACACAAGTACACCCTGGCGATGCACGAGAAGGCTCATTCGGGGAAGATGCCGTATTCGTGTGCCGTCTGCGGGAAAAGCTTTGCACAAAAGTATGTCCTCGATGACCACGAGAGGACCCACACTGGGGAGAAGCCATACTCCTGCACCGCGTGCGGCAAGTGCTTTGCACACAAGTCCAATCTTATTACGCACAGGAGGACTCACACCGGGGAGAAGCCCTATGCGTGCTCCATATGCAGCAAATGCTTTGCACAGAAACCCCATATGATCACACACGAAAGGTCTCATACAGGGGAGAAGCCTTTTTCCTGTTTGGAATGTGGAGCGTGTTTCACGAGGAAGTCCAAACTTGTGACCCATCATCGATCCCACGCGGGGAACCCATTGGATCCCTCAGATGTCCAGTTGCAGCACCTAAAAATTCAAATCAAAGAAGAACTCTCTGACATCGAGGATGAATGAGGTTGGTAAACTCATAGTCAACCCAGAAAAGGCCGTTGTGCAGAGCAGATAGGAAACGTCCTGGAGTGGCCAAGGTTTCACCCCCTTGGCTACGTGGTATAGGTCATGGGCAGCCTATGCACTGCGACAGGCGTGTTTAGACCAGATCAAATATTGGCGTCCTCCATCGAGTATAATTTGGAATCCAAAATGGAAGCCATCAGTGTTCTTTCACTTGGTACGTATCATAGTTAGATACTTGGGTTGAAAAAAAGTCCATCAAGTTCAACCTATAGAAGACCAACCTCAACCTTGGTCTTCAGACACCAAAGAGGGACCTTCACTTCCCGCATAATCCCCTGCTCTTCTTCAGGACTTCCCTTGTGCTTCCCCCTTCTTCAGACCTCTCTTCCTGGTGCTCTACCAATTCTCCAAGCCTTTAAGCTTATTTTTAACAGCTGTGATTTAGTAGAGCTAGAAGACCCCCAACTAAGGTCTTAAGAGCCCACTAAGCAGCATGTTGGCTTCACAATGGTTTATATGGCTGGTATATGCCAGGCTTATGTTTAAATTTGCTGATATAGGTGTAGAAGGATCAAAATCAAACACCAGCAAATCCTTCTGAGGGAACATTCCTACAGGTGACGGTGAGGTTTCAGCCCAAAGAAACTTGTCCAATGATTGTGGTAGCATTGGACCACGTGGTAGCATTGAACCAGTGAGATATTTAAGCCCTACAGCCCAAAGAATCTTGTCCAATGATCGTGGTGGCATTGGACTACGTGGTGGCATTGGACCAGTGAGATATTTAAGCCCTACACTCTTACCACCTGATTTACATGAATGTTCTCCATCACTAAACTACTTTCTACACAGCTCTAGGTTGCCAAGGAGCCCTCAACTCGTTGTCTGTCTCTTGAACCTTCAGTTGAAAGTACTTTCCAATGAATTCCATGTCAGGTAGTACTGCAAGTCATAGAGATAGTGTTTGTCCTCACTATTCTGATGACGTTGGTGCGATATACGGCCATATTTATAATATATACTACAGGTGTGCTGTAGTAGAACTAAAAGGGTTGGCTGGTGCTTTTCCATTGATAGGCCACAGCCAGGAGATCCCTGCCTACCCACTGGAAGAGGATGTAGAGTTTTGAAGGCCCGGTCTTCATTACCTCCTCAGATCTTTTATGGTTCCAAGTCACGTTCTGAAGTCTCTGTTCTCCCCCACATTTCTTCTCTGAACATAATGAGAATGTACTCTCACCTGTAACTGGATTTGCAGTTCATCCTCCATTCCTCCATGACACAATTGAAGAAAGGACACCAGCACACCAAAAATCCTTCCAGGATAACCATGTGTTCCTTTAATAAGAACCATGTCAAGTAAAAACAAGCGCATGGCCACGCAGGGTTCCTTCATCAGGCTTAAAATTGACCTCAACTTTCTTCAAGTGATTCCTGTAACCAGCTGTGCCATCCGCAGTCACTACGAGCACCCTCGCTTGTTGTGGGGCATCCGGTAAGGAGTGAAACAAGTTCCTTACTATGTTCATCCTCCATGACAGCCCCCAAGATCATTCCCTCATCAGTCTGTCCATATAACAGTTTGATATTTGTTTGCTGTCTCCATACCTTGTTCTCGATGACATAGAGCTTAGGAGGCATTATAGTCAAGGACTGTTAAAATGTTCTAGTTCCAGTACGTGGGTCAGAGACAATCTATTGAGTGTGGGCTGTCATGGGGGATGAACTGGAAGACCAAATTAAGAAAGGAATTACTGAATCTCCGACAAAGGCTTGTTCCAGATGTATAAAAACCATGTGATGGAGACCAAACATGGAATATCTATGATGGATACATAGCTTGAGGATATGGAACTTAGAATTGTGTACTCACTACAATTGGAAAGTGTTTTCTTGCCACAATAAAGTCTGTTATGAATGTACCGTTATGAAATAAAACCATTTGGCTGAAAGACTCATTTTCTTTATGACTTGTTCTTGGGCATACAGCCCTTTATTTCTCGTCTTGGAAAACATAGGACTAGGCTGCCTATGTATTATAAAAGTTCAGATGAAGGTTTCATGTCCCCGAGATCACATGGAGGTTACTTACTGGACTAACTGTAACATTTAAAGAGCATCATTGAGAAAACACCCTCATGGGTGTATCTCCACTTATTATACCTTCACCCTATTACACCTGATTGCATCGCTATAATTATAAGTACAACATTCATTGGCCAATAGCACAGTGGCTGGTGTTTCCCAAGCCTGTTTCAGGTAGTGTGATGTGTTAGAGACCAGGGCGCCTTGTCTAATGGCATGAAGAAGCTTGTTGTGCAAGAAATAAGGGAGCCTTATTTCCATTCCAATCTCCATTCTGGGCCAATGGTCTCAAGGCTTCAGATAAAGAACGTGGAACCAGTATAAAGGTCCGGAATCCTGACCGTGCCTTTAGGGTGCCTGTCCCAGCTCAGTGGCTCTCAGGTAGAAGCCAAAGTCAAGCAATGTTTCAGGAGAAGGCTCACAGATTTCTCTCAGTGGGTTCCTATTAGGGATGCACAGATACTTTTCGAGTACCAGTGCCGATACTTGGCATTTTCATGAGAACTCCCAGGCACTCCACCATTGTCCTGAAATCATTAGTCTGTATTATTTTAGAAAAACTGTCACATGACAATAAACAAAAATGTATCAGTACTCGTACTTCTAAGTACTCGGCAAGTACCAGTTCTCGTACTCGCAAAACTGGTATCTGTGGATCCCTTTATTTATATTTATAATAAAAGACTGGGACACCTTGAGTGTACGTGACAACTCGAGGATTGGTGAGCCCCTATCTGTTATGCTACAGCAAGCTATTTATGTTGGATTTCGTGTTATCTTTCGTTTTGAAAGCAAATAAACTGCATTGTACTTGCACCTCCGGTCTTCAGTGGAGTGTCCTTGTTACAATATATATATATATATAAACAAAATCGTACATTAAAACAGAGATGTACAAATCCCAGGAGCTCTGTGTGCTCCTTACAAATGACAGCTGCCTCCTAATTTTTTAATTTTTATCTAGTGTAGTCCTGGAGCTCAAAAGTATCGGTACATGTACTCGTACTTGTACCGAGTACTGTACTTGGTATCTGTGCAACCCTAGTTCCTATGAAGCGTCATCTGTATAGGAGTAAGACATGGGGTTGGGAATGTAGAGAATGAGAAGACTAGGACACTAGGAAAATAAATTAGAAGACTGAAGAAAAATTTGAAGACCAGGAGGTAACTTCTGAGTTGACACCTGAAAATTGTAGCATCTTACTTTTACTGAGTTACAAAGACTTGTGTCCAGGAGCGCTCTCAGATCAGGTATAAGTGCAATTTAAAGGTCAAATCCAACCAGAATCTAAAGTATTTGATGGACACCAAAGGGTTACATCAATCAATGGCTTATTGTAGCTCTTGCGTACTTGATGATGAGATATTCCCACCATTTCTGGTCCAGCTTCCTTCAGCCGTTATGAAGCCAAGTGTCAGGGCGGAGTTACCCTGTATGCAGGAGTGGAACCCAATAGCAGAGAACAGTGCTGGATACAAGTCCGGGGTGAAGGTTCAAGATGGGAAATCCAAAGGCGTAGTCAGAATACCGTCCGGGTTAAGGCAGGCAGCAAATATAGATGAGAAGACAAGCCAGGGGTCAAGAATCAGGGAGTCCGAATGGTGGGAACGGAGATCAGGAGCAGGAAGAGGGTAACGCTTCGTACTTGCACAGGATTTAGGCAGAATAACTCAGCAACACGTCAGGGCTCTGACTGGGATTTAAACCCAGCAAGGTCCAGGAACGCCCCCGTTGTCGGAGCAATGAGGAAGCTTCCAACCCCCGAGAGCCAATGGGATGGCGAGGAAATGTACAGTAAGTGTGTCAATGAGGCCCTCCCTCTGAATGATCAGCACCTGAATTGACTAATAGGCCACGTGCATGCCCTGCCACCGGGCACCAAGATACCACAGGAAGGATCCTACACCTGGCACCATGCCCTTCGACAACCAGGTAAGGGGGCACCCCTGGTCCCATGATACATTGTGCCCTTCTTTCTGGGGGACTCATAACAGGTGAGCTTTAAAACGAGGGCATTAAAACCTCACCTCCAGAATCCATGAATGTTGTTGGTGACTGTAATAGACGTACCGGGTTACGGTCCACCGTCGGGCTCCAACGCCGTCCTGCGCAGGCGCGCCGTGGTAACCCCTCACCTCCTAGCAGGGACTCAGTAGTGCGCAGGCACTCCCTGGGACTCCGCGCACCTAATTCGAGCAGTCGGCTTAAAGCCGCTGCTCACTGATGGATCGGCGTCCTACTGTTGATTGTAGCAGGACACTGATCAATCAGTGTCTGCCTTGCTGCCCTTCAGGATCATCAGCCACAAGCAGGTCGTCGGATCCAAGAGTCTCAGGGCTCTACCATTGACCACCAAACAAACCACAAGTAGAGGCTTATGCCTCCTGGCTACCAGGACACTACTATAGTGCTGTTGTGCTGAACTTCATTACCTGCTAGCTAAACTCCTTGCTGTTTCTCACAGCCATTAACCCTGTGTGCTATTGCTGTTGTGCTGAACGTCATACCCTGCTCTCTAACTACCAGAGGAGTGGCACTTCCATTTTTGCCAAGGGGAGTATGATGTTAAGCAGCTCTCGATCCGCCTAATCAAATACAGGGCAACAGAGTTCAGCTGCACAACTGATCCCCATCCATGAAACTCCGCAGTTGCGATCCATTCCCATAGATAAGAGAAGCGAGGCTTTACAGTGACTTTATCACCCAACATTACCCAGTACTTGAGCTGTGGAGAACATAGGCAAAACGTGGCCAGGCCATCACCGACGTCATTTAGGGTCTTGCTGTTTTGGAACCAAGTAGAACAGCCAAAGCTGTCATTGATGCTCCCAAACTTTATCCATTAGGTGCTCCATTCAGTGTTCAAAAATATACGTCGAGGACTCAACAAAGGATCCAGCAGGAGCACGGCTCAGTGGTTGGATGGTTCCTTTTGCCAGCTTAGTCCGGTGGCCCAGGGCAGTGTAGCAGCAGCCCCAAGGTTACTTTTACTAAGGATTATGGGAAGGAGCGAAAGGTGACAACCAGGACGGCTCAACGGTTTTATCCTTCTGCAGGACACTTCTGTGACTACACATCCCTTCGTGCTTGCCAAAACCAATCCCAAAGGTCTGTTCCCAATGCTTGACCTCAAGTCCCACCAAGAGTCCATGCATTAACGATAACACCAAACGTGACTAAGTTGCATTGACGTGACATGTATCACTACCCTTGTGACACTTACCACTGTTGCTGGGACTTGAGGACACATTTGGAAAACACTGAATTATGAGAAAAACCCAGAAGTAGTTACCACCAACAGTTCATGAGTACCAGCTCTATAGGTGCTCCGTACAGCGACCCTCTTCTGCTTTATTGACTACGTATGGCTCTGAAAGAGCTCCTTGGAGAAGCCAGTCCTGCCTCGGCAGGCAAGTGCCCTTTGCTAACCATCTCCTGGCCTTCAAAATTGTGAAAATGCAAGCCTAAAGGCAGGTATGCTATATATAAATATATACAGTACATGGCTCAACCAATTCCATAAGTCAACCATGAGTCCATCGTCGGCCCGCGTAACTAGGAACTAGAGAATCATAATGCTTCAAGATTAGGATGGGTTGAGTGTAATGGTGGACCTGACCTAACCTTAGATTCCTGGTGACACTTTCGACCCACTGCCCATTGCTTGCCACCGTCCATACTCAGTTGGTGACCACATGGAAACATATGGATTTCCCTTTCAACTGTCCAGATGCAGGAAGGTGAAAGCTTGAAGGGACCTGAGCTGAAGGCCTCTGGATTGAGGGCACAGAGATAGTGTAACCCTAGAACTGTTCTTTCCCTCACTTGGTACCCTTTCCTCTTGTCCATGGACAGAACACATTGGATTCAGAATACAAGAGGGCCTTCTGGCTGGAGGTCATCAAGCAATATCTAGACCAGGGGCGGGGAACCTCCGGCCCTCCTGTTGTTGTGAAACTACAGGTCCCATGAGGCATTGCAAGAGTTTCACAGCCACAGGCATGACTCCTAGAGACAGATGCATCATGGAATTTGTAGTTTCACCACACCTGGAGGTTCCCCAGACCTTTCCTCCCTAGACTGATTGTCCCTGGCTCACCCCTTTCATTCATTGGATTTCAGTTCTTTTAATCATGGAGTCTCAGCATCACACGTGGGCGTTACCTAGGGTGGTCTGCATGCAAATACAGCCTGCCTAGGAAAGCCCACTCCTGCAGACTGACACCCACCTACCAAGGCATTTCGATATTTGTATACCTGATCCAAAGAGCTGGCCCATTGCTTGCATCAGGGTTGAGGGGTCTTGAGAGAGTACTGAGGCAGTGTGCTGTGATGCTTTCAGGAAGCTATGTACAGCACTCTGTCGGCCCCCTGATTTACAAAGTCACATGACTTCCCCCCCATCTCCTCAATTGCCAGTGCTAGGACCCCCTTTTCTTCCCTTTTATAAGAAGAGGACATTAATATTACCTCCTCCTTACTGGGCACACACTCCCCAGTCTCACATCTGTAGCAGGAGAATTCTCACACAACCAAAGCTTTTCTAAAACTGTGGACTACAACAAAATGGACGCCACTGGGACTACAACAAAATGACCCCCTCATCTTCTACAGAAAAGTTGACAGTATCAAAATATATCTCTACATAGAAGCAAACAAGGAGGACTTATTACAGTTACCATTAGTATATCAATAATTATATATTTTTTGTTAATAATATGGTTAGGTTTGCTTATGCTGGCTATGACAAAATGGCCGCCACCCTTTATGCAGTGAGCCCGTTTTCCTCCCACGGTGAGATGTTCGCCCTCTAGCGGTTAACTAAGGCTTCACACTGAATGAACGGTGTTCTTTTACTGTTTGGCGTTCTAGTCCCTTAGCAGGGCGTCACTATAGCAACAAAGAAGCAGCTGGGCGGCCGTGGAACGCACGCAGCGGAAGTGTTGGAGCCACACGGCGGAAGTAAAGGAAGTGTTTCCGGTGTTGGTCATAGAGAGGAGACAGGCGGCTTTCCAGGGTGATTATTATATATTTATTATTATTTATTTGTAGACTTTTTTTTTTTTCTTTTGAACAAAGAACATCAATTCCTAAAACTCTGTACCTGCTTTGCCTCACTGCTGAAAAACTGTAGAGATAAAATCAATTAGCCACACAGATAGACTGATGTGTTGTGTTAGGTGTACAGGCTGATAGGGTTATACTGAGCCGGAGTATGTTATGAGCCGGAGTATGTTATGAGCCGATATGGCCGCCCTCATATACTGAGAACTTAGAAGCCGTACATAGAAACAAGGCTTTCAAAATAATAGTGTGGAGCGATCAGACTATCGACATACAACATGTATGACTGGAGATGGGAGCGCCCCCTTTAACGTGTCACATGGTTATCTTTGCAGAGGGTTTATCATGGTCAGTCCCTTCCCGGTGTCTTCGCTGAGGATGGAGAAGGAGCGCGGTCACATGACCGAGAGGATGTTAAACCTGACCCTGGAGATCATCTACCTGCTGACCGGAGAGGTGAGGAGGATTCTGGGAGGTCACATGACATCACTCTTATCTCTATTCATAACACACAGACCTGAACGGAGAGGTGAAGGGGATTCTGGGAGGTCACATGACATCACTCATCTCTATTCATAACACACTGACCGGAGAGGTGAGGAGGATTCTGGGAGGTCACATGGCATCACTCTTATCTCTATTCATAAAACACAGACCTGACCGGAGAGGTGAGGAGGATTCTGGGAGGTCACATGGCATCACTCTTATCTCTATTCATAAAACACAGACCTGACCGGAGAGGTGAGGAGGATTCTGGGAGGTCACATGACATGAGTTTCCTCTCTGTTAATATGTCTTTGAAGGTTCTCGTTGATCCAGGTCATGGTTTGGTGGTCATGTTTAGCTGGACTTGTTCTGTAATGTTGAGGAGGAGTCAGCACTCACTCAGGTGGTTTCCTCAGTTGAGATGAGCTTGTGTTAGGATTGCACAGGAAAGGTTCATGGAACCAAAAGGATGTTACAGAGGGCTAGAGTGTGTGAGACAGGTCCTCTTCACCAGCTGGCAGCTACCTGATGAGATTTTAGAGTGGCCCAAATTAGAGCTTGCTTAACTAGCCCAACATTCCCAAGACAAGGAGAGACAAACCGACAAGTTCACCACTTTACTACTACGGGCCGGAGCAGTTAATCTGGAGAATGGATGGATGAGGACAATTGGGTGAAGAACCTTTCAGACAGGGAACTTACCCAATCTTAGGTGGTAGACTTAGCCCAGGGACTGAATGTGGCTATGGCTTCCCCATGTTGGTGTGTCACTCTGCCATGTTCCTGTGGTACCTCCATGTGTCTTAGTGGTACTCCAAATTGTCCCTGTGGCGCTCCGCCATGTTCTTATTGCAGCTACATAATCTTCCATCCATACCGGCCACCGATTGGGAAACAACATAGCTCCACCCGATTGTCACTGTTGTCCTATCCAAGACCAAAGCACTTCATTCCAACTTGACCCCCAGTGGAAAGAAGGGGCCTTCAATCACTCAGTGATCTGCTCCGTGATGCCAGTATGAGTCCCTAGACTCCTTCTAGATAGTCTGTCTACAACAGAGTGGGTAAGAGCCATTGATTGGACCACCTCCTCTACCCATGGGCGGCTACACCATACTTGTATGGATACCTGCAAGAGCTACAGAAGGCAAAGCCATTGATCAGACCTTGGACCACCACCTGTATCCAAGGGAGGTGATACCATACCTGTAGGGATGTCTACTAGAGCTAAAGAAGGTGAAGCCATCAATTTGATATTGGACTACTATCTCTACCCAGCGGAAGTGGCGCCATACTTGTATGGATACCAACAAGAGATGAAGAGGGTGAGGTCATCGGTCGGACCATGGACCATCACCTGTATCCAAAGGAAGTGATACCATACCCGTATGGATACCTACAAAAGCTAAAGTAGGTAAAGCCATTGTTTTGATCTTGGACCACCATCTCTACCTAACAGAAGTGGCACCATACTTGTATGGATACCAACAAGAGCTGAAGCCATCAATCGGACCTTGGACCAACAGCTTTACCCAGAGGAAGTGACAAAACATGTGTATGGATACCTACATGTGTATGGATACCTACAAGAGCTGAAGAAGGTGCAGCCATCGGTTGGACCTTGGACCATCACATCTTCACAGAGGCAGCTACACACCATACTTGTATGGATACTTACAAGAGTTGAAGAACATGAAGCCATTGTTCAGATCTTGGACCACCACCACCTCTACCTAGCAGAAGCTATATCATACCTGTATGAAGACCTACAAAAACTTAAGAAGGTGAAGCCATCAGTCAGACCTTGGACCACCTCTTCTATGCAGAGGCAACTACAACATTCTTGTATGTATACTTACAAGAGCTTCAGAAGCTGAAGACATCATTCGGACCTTGGATTACCACCTCTACACAGGGGTATCTTGTGGATACTTACAAGAGTTGAAGAACGCAAAGCCATTGTTCATAGCTTCTGCTGGGTAGAGGTGGTGGTCTAGGGTCTGAACAATGGCTTCATGTTCTTCAACTCTTGTAGGTATCCAAACAAGTATGGTGTAGCTGCCCCTGTGTAGAGCTGGTGGTCCAAGGTCCGATCAAGGGCTTCAGCTCTTGTAGGTTTCCATACAAGTATGTTGTAGTTGCCTCTGCATAGAGGAGGTAGTAGAAGGTCTGACTGATGGCTTCACCTTCTTAAGTTTTTGTAGGTCTTCACGCAGGTATGATATAGCTAGGTAGAGATGGTGGTCCAGGGTCTATCAAACCTGTATGAAGACCTACAAAAACTTCAGAAGGTGAAGCCATCAGTCAGACCTTGGACCACCTCTTCTATGCAGAGGCAACTACAACATACTTGTATGGATACCCACAAGAGCTGAAGGAGGTGAAGCCATTGATCGGACCTTGGACCACCAGCTCTAGCCAGAGGAAAATAACTGTATGGATACCTACAAGAGCTGAAGCCATCAATCAGACCTTGGACCACCTCCTCTATGCAGAGGCAACTACAATGTACTTGTATGGATACCTATAAGAGCTTCAGATGGTGAAGACACCTCTACACAGGGGAAGCTACATCGCTCCTATATGGACTCTTACAACAACTGAACAGGTAAAAGCCATTGATTGTACTTTGGGCCTCTGCCTCTATACTGGGGAGGCTGGACCATTATTGTACGGACTCCTGAAAATACACAAGGAAGGGACCCCTCTAAGATCAACTGTCAGCAGCATCAACTCTGTGACATGCAGTATACCATCGCCAACTATTTGGTGACAGCCCTAGCATCCTTAGTTGGAGACACACTGTGTCACATTCAGAACTCAAATGAATTAGTCAACCAGGTCTGTGGATTGAGGTTACAGGCAAAAGAGATCATGGTGTCCTATGAGGTCACATCCCTTTTCACTTGTATACCTATAACTGCTGAGGTCGGCATTCGGTAACCTGAGGAACCCACTTGGATTAGTGATAAAATGTCTTCAGTGTTACAGAAAAAATTCATCTGAACATGACTAACTACTACTAGCTATGTCCATGAATAGTACACTGACCCGACTGGATAGGTGAGGCTACCTGGAAGGTCACCACATCCCTTTTAGACATCATTGTTGAGAATGTTTATTCCTCCTTCCACTTGTTGTTTCTTTTAATTATAGAATTATATTGCCTTCAAGCTACGTGATGGCTTGGTTGCACCAAACCTGAAGAAGGCCCAAAGCCCCTTCGCACTTCAAGCTCCATCCTTGACAACTGAGAACAACAATGACAAGAAAATTGAAGAAGTCACCCAGAAGATCATTGAGCTGCTGGCGGGAAAGGTGAGCGGTGCCGGGAATTCTGGGACATTATCCAGTTACAGACAAGGGATGTGTCTTAATGGTGACTGTATCATTGTGTGTGTCAGGTTCCTACTAGACATCAGGATGTCTCTGAAGAACACAAGGACGCCATGATGGAGAACCGGCCGCCCTTCACATCACCGGGTAAGAGGAGACTTTCATTTCTTGAGTATTGAGGATCCCCCTAGATACACACATTCAGTCAGTGTGTGTGTTTCCTACAGATGGATCCAGGAACAGAAATACCCCAGAGAGATGTCCCCGTCCTCTGTATTCCCGGGATTCCACACAGGAACATCAGGAGATCCCTCAGGCCCGTCCTCTGTATTCCTGGAACTCCACACAGGAACATCATGAGATACCTGAGGAACATCATGAGTTCCCTCAGGAGGATCAGGTAGATGGAACTATTGTTTTTTGACATTTGAAACAAATCTGCATTTGCCAGACAGTGATGGTGTCAACTATTTATTATAGGGAAACAGTGTCGTAATCAAAGTTGAAGATGAAGACGATCCATATGTGCAGGGTGATGAGCCGTGTAAGGAGGAGGACATCCCTCCAGAGATCAACACAGGTGAGTAATAAACACTAAATCCACAAAAGAGTCCCAGATTCTCCTTGTTCAGTCACTACAACAATCTCTTCTTCTCCCCCTCCTCTGTCAGTAGACAGTAATGGTGGGACGGAATGTGTCTAGTGGGGGGAGTCAGGAGCCATCAGCCTCTATTAGACTCCGGCTCTCCTCCTCACATCATGTCATTGTGTGTTACCAGCCAAGAGACGTGACCAGTCTCCAATAGTAAAAAAATAAAATTTGGACATTAGATACACTTTAAATATTCATATTTGTGTTCTTATTCCCTCCAGATGGGCTGTACAGACGGTACACCAGGGAGGAATGTCCTGAGAGCTCTCTAGATAGCAAAGATGATGATGATGATTTCCCTGCAGACTCTCCAAAGGACCCTATGACCACAGATCTCTACCCATCATCTCACAGTGTCCATCTAGTAGATCCTTCTACTCTTGGAGGGAGCTTTAGCGATCCCTCCCTTCCTGTAACTTATCACGCAACCTATGGGGCCTCTAAGAAGTTTCCGTGCTCCAAATGCGGCAAGTGCTTCACCCAGGTGACGACGTTCCTCGCCCACAAGCGGACTCACATGGGAGAGGTGCAGCACTCCTGTCCCGATTGCGGCATGCGTTTCGACCTGAAAAAGGACCTTGTCAACCACCTGGCCAGCCACACCACCGACCAGCCATACACGTGCTTCTACTGCAGAAAACACTTCTCCAGCAAATCCCGTCTGGACCGTCACGAACTCATTCACACGGGGCACAAGCCATATTCCTGCTCCATGTGCGGCAAGCGATTTACGCAGAAGGCCAACCTAGCCCGCCATGAAAGGACTCACACGGGGGAGAAGCCCTTCGCCTGTCCCGATTGTGGCAAATGTTTCACAAGGAAAGCCACTATGATCGAACACCAGTATTTGCACAAGTGAAGAACGCACCGCTGCTTGGGTGGTGACGGTTGTCTACACACGTGCCTGTGGCATGACAGTAGTGAAGTGCTTTGTTATTGTACAACGGTTTGAAGTTACTCATTTTGTTGATAAGGACAATCACGTCAGATCTCTGATGGACTTGTCAACGCCGGTTGAGGGTACCATCGTGAATAACCCAGTGAAAATAAAGAAGGCCTATTTATGAGTCCACCTGGTCTTTATGCCTTCAGGGACATTCTTGTTGGGCTGGGATCCAGCATGGAGGCTCAGTTTTTTCACAAGGCCTATGGTGAGGTGTGCAGATCCCAGAATGGTGATGGGAACACCTCACCAACGGAGCCACCAAGGGCTATAAAAAGATGGTGGGTGACCCAACTTCCCTACACCTGCCCAGACCTGAACCTTCATATCAATCTGTGGGACATTTTAAACAAGATCTAGAACCATAAACCCTCTGTGAAACCAGTTCCTTCTTCCTACTAAGGGCTTGTATGCCCTAGAAGTCCTGCAACCCTTGTGTCCAATGAGTGTACCCTTTTTGGCCACTGGGGCACTCTTACTGGACAGAAGGGTGGCAGGTGGGCCCTCCAAAGTATCAATGTGAAACCAGGAACAGAGTTGAACAGAGAATAGGATTTTCTAGTGTAGGCACCTTGTGGCGCTTGCAAGTACCTATGTTCGTTTTCAAGTCTGTTGCTACGAAGGCTCCTTACATCCTTGGTCCAGGCTGTTCATGGGGCCTCGAGTTCTGCCTAAGTCAAAGTTAAGCCCTACCCCTTCCTGCTACTAAGCCACACCCCTTTTATTCAGCTGTCAAATGCCAGAGCCTCTACTGCTCACTCAAGCTCTGACATTTGACATCTGAATAGGGACGTAGAACCCAAGGAGGGCTCCATAGAGGTAAACTGGAAGAGATCCACTCTCCTATTTTTCCTGGTGACCATCACCATTGGAGCAGAAGGTTCATGTAACTCCAATGGGGTTGGACTTAGTAGGAGAGCAGGGCTTACTCTTGATTAGACCATAATGTCATGGGCCCCATGTACAGCTTGGGAGTAGGACCCAATGAGGGCTTCACAGAGGTTAATTGGAAAGAGATCCACTCTCACTATTTGTCCTGGTGACCATCGCCATTGGAACAGAAGGTTAATTCAACTCCAATGTGGTTGGGCCTAGTAGGAGAGCATGGATTAATCTTGACTTCTAGTTTCTTTAGGCCTTTTAAAGCCAGTTGTCGTGGACAGGGTTCTGTATCCACAGGCAGGGAACCTAAGATTACAGGTGGTAGGTGGAGTCACAGAGGCACACTGGGCCCAAAAACGGCCACAAGGGTCACTGGGTAACACAGGATGCTCAGAGTGCACTGGAATTACAGGGGAAACACCCATACCATAAGGGAGGTCATAGGTTGGTCACACAGGATGTTTAGGAAGCTCTGGAGTCACGGGGTGGCACAGGGTGCTTAAGTGTCACAGGGGTCACCAGGTGCACTGGAGTCACAGGGAAAATAGGATGCTCTGGGTCAGAGGGTGTTTAAAAGCCACAGTGGTCAGGTGACACCGGGTGCAGTAGAGTCACAGAGCGACACTGGGTATGCTCAAGAGGTTACGGGAGAACACAAGGGATACTGCAGCGGGGCCAAGCCTCGTGTCTCTGTGCCGTTTAAAGCTGACACCAGCCAGGAGCTCTGTCTCTTGATTGGCCACGAACCAGACCCTATGGGTAAAACCCCGAAATGCCAGCAGTCACTAGCTGGACAGGAGTCCCCGGCACTGGAAGAGAGGAGAGGAATGGCACCAGGGGTTTGAATATACACAGGCCACGCCTTCGTCCCTCTCAAGTCAGTCCTAATAAGTCCACACCGACATGGATGTCCACCATTTCTTCAGTGCATTTTTGGTTGCATATAGTTCCTCCAACATGGAGGTGGCTGAATATAGACAAGCGGCTGTTCGCTATTGAAATATACAATGTTTGCTTTTAGTAGAACCTTATAATTCAATATCACTCCAGATGATCCTGACAGCCCTGAGGCTATCAGCAACATAAAGGTGGCACCCTGGAGGCAGCACCATCTCCAGTCTACTGATCATACAACACATATAATTTGGATCCACTCCAAACATGGCTGACATTAAACTCAAAACTGACATTGAAACCACTTAATCTCACTATGAGACCACCAGAAGTAGAACATGATGGCACCCCATGCAGCTGGATGAAATGAGGGCCGGGCTAAGTCCTGTCAACTGCCCGATGAAACTACTTCAGTGACCAGTAAGAACACTCTCACTGGACATGGGGATGGTGGTTGGTGGAGCTCCATAACATTGAGAGCCATCTGATTGTGTAAGTTGGGTTGAGTAGCTAGGCCTTCATGTAGCTAGACCTTCACATTAAATTCTGGTCAACCTAAAGGAGATTGGATGATCAGATTGGCTTTAGTCTATACAGACTAGACCTCCCATGTTCCTCCTCTGGCCTTCTGGGTAAAGAAACAGGTGGACTTCAGTAGGAACATAAGTCAACTTTATTTGTACTCACCGTTGAACATTGACAACCCAACCTAACATTTGCGATCCAACTTCCATATCGATAGGGTGATGTACCTAGAAAGTCTGAAAATGTAATCTACGGACACAAGGCTTGGGAAGATGTCCCAATGCTTTCATGGAACCCCTCTGTTCACTCTATTGACAAAGAGAAGCACCTCTGAGAATATTTTGGACCTAGACTTTTTGGGGTGACTTTCTTGGACTAGATGCTTAAATCTGACCTCCGGCCTTCCCTTCAGTCTTGCACAATTGTACCGGTGTTCTATCGATTTCTCCAACTCGTCGAGACCTCCAACTCCCGTCAGTGCTTCTGCGCAGCCACCCAAGAAATATCAAGCTCTACAATCTGCAACAGTACGCCAGCGCAGGCACACGATGCCACAAGCACCAACGGGAGTTGGGGAACTCGATGACAATTTCGAAGGCGCACCTACGGCAAGTGGAGAAGTCAACGAGGATTGCAAAAACTGTGACGGCTGCAGCACACGCACTAGCCCTAGCGCCATCTCGTCGAGATCTACAACAGATGTGACGTCACAAGTTGAAGATCTCGACGAGTTGCCCACCTCTCCTCAGAGCACCGGCTCCTCTCCTAGACTCAAATGGCTTACTCTGATTTCATTGCGCACTGTGCCAGGAGCTTCTCACAATGTGTATTAGAAGCTGCAGGAAGTCAGATGGAGATTCATTCATTGGATCAATCATGGAAGCTTAGCATCACGTGGGTATTTCCCAGGGCGGTGTGTTTGGAACGCCCACCCCTCCAGCCTCACATCCACCCATCAAGGCCATCTGATATTTCCATAACTCCTCCCAAGAGCCAGCCCACTGCTTGCATCAGGACTGAGGGGTCTTGGGAGAGGACTGAGGCAGGTTGCTGTGATGCTTTTATGAAGCTATATACCACACCCTGCCAGCTCCTCCCACCAGCCATGATGTGCCGGCATTGCATAGAACACAGAGACCCAGTGATGACATCACAGCGACTAAAATAAAGAAATGTAATGGAAATAGAAAGACTTTATTCACTTTTTGATGAGGGGGAGGGAGGAGCCAGGGAAGGTGAAATATATCCTTAGATGTGGCGGCTGCATTCGTTTTTATCCCTTTATTTTCACCTGCAGATCCTTCCAGTGACACACTTCCTGTCCCAGGCTGACACCGAATTGTATCCAGGCCCGGATTCCCCACAAGGCCACCGAGGCCCGGTCTCGGGGCGGCAGGGCTCAGAGGGGCGGCAGCGGTGTCCTTGTTGGGAAGTTGCCCTCTCTACATTCAGTCCTGCTTTGCACAAGCCGAGCTAAATGTAGAGTGAGGCAGACGATTTTTTGTTTACATGTGAACTCGGCGATGTCGCCGAGATCACATGTAAACAGGGTGCAGCCTCCTCCCCACCCCCCTGCACTTACCTCTCTCCTCTGGTTCCGTCCTCCGCCACCCAGTCCCGAGTCTCTGACTGCAGTGAGCGGCCGGGTTATAAGTAACCCTGCTGCTCCGTGTAGACTGTAGACAGTGAGAGGGGAGAGCTGTGCTGTGCTGCGCTCTTCCTCTCTCACCTGTCACAGGAGTTCCAGCACAGTGCTGTGCTAGAACTCCTGTATTGGAGGTGGCAGGGTCCATAAAGAGAACCTGTCACCTCAAAATTGCTATCACACAGGGGATTGTTTTCTCCTATGTGATAGCAATAAAGTTAGGTGAAAAAAAAATGTAATTGATAAAAAATTTAAATAAATAATATGAAATAATAAAATAAAAAGGTAATTAAAAAGTAAAAAAAGAAACAAATTATTAAAAAATAAGAAAATAATTATAAAAAATAAACAATAATAAGATAAAAGAGGGGGGGTCCCGGGGGGAGCGCATCACAGGACCTGGCCTTGGGGCGGCAGGGAGAGTAAATCCGGCCCTGATTGTATCTATGGAGGAGCAGCGTTGTCACTTTAGGACACGGCTACAGAACACAACTGACAAGATTTCTGGTAGGATCAATGGGTTGTTGTCCGCACTCATCAAACAAATACCAAAACTTTATTTAACAGACAAAAAGGTAGCAGATAAGAGAAGGTCATGGAAAGGGTTTAACATGCACTTTAATCTCGGCTCTCAGTGATTCTCTGCAGCCAGAATTCTGGCAGCTACTCACACGTTCACTCGGCGTGTACTTCCTGAATCCGGACGCTCTCTCTGCTCGGTGTATCGGCAATCAAGTTCAGGCTTCCGTGGCAGCTTTGAATCTGAAAATTGTTACTACTGCGACTCCCATAGATCAGGTCTTCGGACACGGAGTCAACGAGCAGCCTGGGAATATCCCCCCTACATCACATACAGAAAAGAAAAAGGTGTTCCCAGATGACCCAATGCAGGAGGAGGGGTGTACTGGTCTTTTACAGCA